ACCGAAATGGTGTTTTTTGGAGAATTGTTTTAGAGCAATCCAAATACCCAAAAATGATATCCAGAAATTACCTAATTAACAAATCAATTTAAGGTTTAGAAAAACAAAAATCAAAATCAAAATCAAAATCACACAAAATGAGTTGTCATTAAAAAAGTAAAAGTCCCAAAATGTTCAGAACATAAACTCAGTGTCGCTTCACACACTTACATTTGAATCATCAATCTCAGAACTAATTAACAACGATAAGGTTTAAGAGCACTTATGTTTTAGAACCAGAAGAAGAAGCACGATTTCTGCTAGAGAGAGAAAATCCACTCCATAATCCAGAAAGAAATTGAAACCCACAATGGAATTGAAGTCACTATCAAAAAATAAAACACTAAAACAATCAAAGATCAATAGAGAGCTGTGAAACCGAAATGGTGTTTTTTGGAGAATTGTTTTAGAGCAATCCAAATACCCAAAAATGATATCCAGAAATTACCTAATTAACAAATCAATTTAAGGTTTAGAAAAACAAAAATCAAAATCAAAATCAAAATCACACAAAATGAGTTGTCATTAAAAAAGTAAAAGTCCCAAAATGTTCAGAACATAAACTCAGTGTCGCTTCACACACTTACATTTGAATCATCAATCTCAGAACTAATTAACAACGATAAGGTTTAAGAGCACTTATGTTTTAGAACCAGAAGAAGAAGCACGATTTCTGCTAGAGAGAGAAAATCCACTCCATAATCCAGAAAGAAATTGAAACCCACAATGGAATTGAAGTCACTATCAAAAAATAAAACACTAAAACAATCAAAGATCAATAGAGAGCTGTGAAACCGAAATGGTGTTTTTTGGAGAATTGTTTTAGAGCAATCCAAATACCCAAAAATGATATCCAGAAATTACCTAATTAACAAATCAATTTAAGGTTTAGAAAAACAAAAATCAAAATCAAAATCAAAATCACACAAAATGAGTTGTCATTAAAAAAGTAAAAGTCCCAAAATGTTCAGAACATAAACTCAGTGTCGCTTCACACACTTACATTTGAATCATCAATCTCAGAACTAATTAACAACGATAAGGTTTAAGAGCACTTACGTTTTAGAACCAGAAGAAGAAGCACGATTTCAGCTACAGAGATAAAATCCACTCCACAATCCAGAAAGAAAAGAAAAGACGTGCAACTCGGTGTCGTGGTTCTTAATCGGAAAGCCTAGCCTTCAGAAAGCGAGTGGAAGGGTTGCGAATTGAAGCCTTCAGAAAGCGAGTGATAAAGAAGAGGAACAAAGAGGGAGATAGAGATAATGAGGGAATGGGAGGAGACGTGCAACAAAGAGGGAGAGAGAGATAAAGATGGAATGAGGAGAGACGTGGGTAGGTGGGAGAGGGAGAGAGCACCGAGTGTTTGGGCGGGAATTAAAGCATCCTCTCAACCATTGATGTTTATCACAATTGATCTGAGCCCTTAAAATGAAATGTATCTCTGATACATTTTACATATTTTCAAAATCCGTTCTGTTTTATTGTATAGATTTTTGGGAAATTTAAAAAAGAAAAAAAAACTTCAAAATCTTGACCTCGGTAACAAATCAATCCTAACTTGAAATTATTTTAATCCTAACCATTCATTTCTATGGGCCATTTAAATAGTCTAACAATTTTTTTCCCTTTATTTTGGTGTTGACAGTCATTTGCTACCCTTACCATGATCTATCACTACTCCCATCTCTTTTCCCCATCTACCATTACTCCTCATTTTCCTCACAAATGGACATCAAAACGTCTATTTCTCTAACCCCAGTAAAAAACAATGGTCACCACCACATACATCAATTTCATATGGTATTGTCAAAATTTCACAGGTCATGTATCTCACCAACTTAAGATACGACTCTACAAACCCATATCAGTTACTTTGGGCTTCATATGGCACTGTCAAAATTTCATAGGTCATGTATCTCACCAACTTAAGGTACGACTCTACAAACCCATATCAGTTACTTTGGGCTTTGTTTAAAAGGAAAGAAAAAAAATTAAATTTATGAAAAGGAAACCTAGGAGAAATTATTCTTTTGCCCAACCAAACACAAACACAAATAAAAATAAAAAAGAGAGAGAGGTATTGCGGAAACTGACAAAGATAAAATACTGAAATTTCAAGCGGAAACTGAAATCATTACCCAACTAAATAAAAATATATTCACAAAGATAATATATATAAAAAATGTATACAATCCAGATTCTTTGTAAAAAATCTATATATAAATAAAAAAATATATACAATGTATATCCAAATAAAATCTATACAATCTATATCCAAATTCTTTGTAAAAAATCTATAGAATCTATAAAAAAAATCTATACAATCTATATCCAAATAAAATGTGTACAATCTATAAACAAATAAAATCTAGTACATAGTCACCACATAAAATGAAAAGAGTGATCTTACCTGGAGAGCAGCAGTTTCGGGAGCGAGGGTATGGAAGAAGAAGAATAGGGCTAGAGAGCAGCAGAGGGAAAATCTGAAAAGAAATTGAATTGGGTATAGTGATAGAAAATAGTAGAAAAATAACACATTAATAACTTAATGCAATTGCACATGAATAGCCTTACCTTGGAGTTCGTTGCAATAGCCTGTATTAAGGTTGTGAATTAAATTTCTTCACAATTCAAACTTAATGCAATTGCGCATGAATAGTCTTACCTTGGATTTGGTTGCAATAGCCTGTATTAAGGTTGTGAATTGAATTTCTTAGTGGTATTAACTAATTAATTATATTTATATATTGATGGCTAACATATTTTGAATACAAAATAAGAACCTAACATATTATAAGTTTGGAAAAAAAAACTTCCCATATACCAAATAAAAATAGAGCAGATTGTTTGAATACAAAAATAAAGCAGATTGTAAAAATAAGGCAAATTGTTTGAATACAAAATAAAAAAAAAATCAAACTTTGAATATTTTCCTAATATTCCTTTAAACCATGGTTGCTATATGCACCAAAACTATTCCTTTAACATAACCTATGACCACCAAAACATTCAACTAAGAAGTATTCCTTTAACATAACATAATATTTTTACATAATTCTGAAGATTAATATTGTTTATCACTCTGTTTATTATAACATAACATAACCTATTTCTTTGTGGTTTGTTTATATAAACATTCAGAAAATTAATCCCAAAATAATTCTGAAGATTAATCACTCTGTGTATCACTCTGTTTATGTTAAAGGAATAGTTTTGGTTGTCATAATATTTAGAAAATTTATATAAACATTCAACTAAGAAGTTGAGATTAATCTTCTGTTTTGGGGTTTGAACAGACAGCCACAAAGAACATCAATTTAAACCATAGAGACAAAATAAAAATAGAGCAGATTGTTTGAATAACTTGAAACCAACATTTGAATAACCTGTTCACAACCCTAAAATAACCTGTTCACAGCCCGATAGAGAGAACGCAGAACAGCCTAAGAAATCGCGAGAAAGTGACAGAAAATAGAAGAAAAATAGGGATCTGATAAACGAACTCAGAACTTAGAACTCAGAACTCAGAAATTAACAGTAGACAGCCCAAGAAATCGAGAGAAAGTGACATAAAATAGTAGAAAAATAGGGATTTGATAAACAACCTCAGAACTCAAAACTCAGAAATTAACAGTAGATCAATTGAAAGAGGGGAATAGAGACAAAAATATTACTTTGCATAGATAGAAGCGTCAGGTTTGGTGTAGCTCTGAAAGGGGGGAGAGGCAATGAGTGGGAGGGTGGGGGGAGACAGGGAGAGGCAGAGATTGGGTGGAGGGGAGGGTGGGGGGAGACGGGGAGAGGCAGAGATTGGGTGGAGGGGGAGAGGCAGCAAGCGGGAGGGTGGGGAAAGAGGGGAAAAGACAGAGATTAGGTGAGAGAGAAGGAGAGAGGTAGCGTCTCTGCGAAAGGAAGGAGAGGGGAAGAGGCAGCGAGTGGGAGGGTGAGGGGAGAGGCAGAGATCGGGTGAGAGAGAAGGAGAGATGTAGCGTCTTTGTGAAAGATAAAGAAGAGAAACAAAGAGGGAGATAGAGATAAAGATGGAATGAGGGAGGAGACTGGAATGGGGGAGGAGACGTGGGTAGGTGGGAGAGAGCACCGAGTGTTTGGGCAGGAATTGAAGCAAAATCTCAACCATTGATCTGTATCACAATTGATCCGGGCCCTTAAAATGAAATGTATCTCTGATACAGTTTACATATTTTCAAAATCCGTCCTGCTTTATTAAATAGATTTATTTATATTGTATATATTTATTATATATATATTTAATTAGTTTAATGGTTAATGGGTAACTGACGTATGTCTACTATCCCATATGGTGGTGTCATGGGAGTTACTCCCCTTACAACTTCTCTGATGGTGGGAAGTTATAAAGAGTTACACTTGGATATGGGTCCAAGCCTATCTATATATATGCCTGTAATAGCCATCAAACACAGACGTTGTTTTGTGAATAGAATAGGCTTGAAACTCTGTTCTTTCCACTTTTTCCATATGGTTCTGTAGAAGTGTTCAGTGAGTGGGTTTTGTTTACACATTCAAGATTTGATCATTCAAGGATAAAGATTCGAAGGCTTGAACATCATGGCAAAAGGTACTCTTCTTTCTGAATTAAAATTATTTTAATTCTCACGATACTTACATGACTCTTTGTTTGAAAAACATGATTAATAATAAAAAGATTAATAATCTCATAAATTAGTATATGATTAGTTATCTAATTAAATTAGTGAAATAATCATTTATTATGTATTCATTTTATTTTGTTTTTTTTTGTTTGTTTGTTTTTTTTTTTTTTTTGGTTTTTTTTTTTTTTTTTTTTTTTTTTTTTTTGGTTTTGTTTTAATATTGAAATTATGATCTTCAACCTCTTTCAATATTAAAAATTCATCAATTTTGTCGAATTAAATATACGTTGTACATGTTATTCGATTAATAAAATTTACAATCAAATATGAAATTGTGAATCCATAAATTAATAATGCCAATCCTATGTTATAATCTTTCTAATAAACATTTAGGTACTGCATGTACTGTATGTACATGCTAGCAAAGCACAATTCTGTTATATGCAGTATACATAGATATATAATATATAAAACAGAACCCTATTTATATATATATGTATATATATATATATATATATATCAGCTAATAATTCCAGTGATGGAGGATGGCTTGGAGGTGGCAATGCCAGCTGCTACATGGTACTGTGATGCATACTTGTTAGTAGGGCTTTCTGCTGCAATTACAGGAGGTTCATTCAAAAATGCAGAGCTGCTTCTAGTCCACCTGCAACCCATGATGCTGTTACATAAATTTTGAGCAAATAGAATATGACAAATTATATTGGTAGTCTATATATTTTATTTTTTTGTGCCATTTTAATCTTTATAGTTTAAAGAAAAATGTTGGGGAGTACTAATTTGGCACCATCAATCTACCTCCAATAACACGGAATGGATCATGTGAAGGATTGTGCCCACACTCCCCTCTCTTTTCTCTATCTTTCACGTCATTGGAGATAGATTAAGAGTGTTATATTGATGGGATGTAGCATGATTGAACAAAGCAAAAATTCAAAGACAAAATCGAGCAAATGAAAATAGTAAGAATCAAAATGACACAAATGACATATACAAACACTATTGGTGTAATTTGTCTAATTTTAAAGGATTAATTACAAATACACCTCTTGAGGTACACTTAAAATACGGATTGCCTTTATGATTTAGAAAATTAAAAATATACGCTTGTAAGAATTTTTTATTTAATAGAATCAATTAGAAAAATAAAATTCATATGCTCTCCTATACAATAATAAAATTACTTGAATTATTAATTAAAATATATTTTGACATTATTAAAAATTGTTAATTGACTTAACCATTTATTGATAAAAGGGTTACAAAATTAAAACTTCAAGGGCGGGATATAATTTTTAAAACTACAGGGAACAATTTATATTTTAAGTAAATTTCAAGGGATGTATTTATAATTTACTCAAATTTTGAAAATTCATACCAAAAATTCAAATTTTAAACTTTTTAAAATGAATTAGTGATTAACAAGTTGATATGATATAGTATTAGAGCAAACACTCATGTGTTTGAATTTTTTAATTTATTTTTTATAATTATAATATTTGTAAGTATGTGACTTATTTTATGAAAAATAACTTTACCATAAATAAATAATAAAAACATAAATAATAAAGTCAACCATTTTTTTAACAACTTAAACTTCAAAATAAATAATTCAACCATTCATTCTAGCACAAATGATAACAAAAGGGTCAATTAAATTAATACATACCATCCATTTTTGTTTATTAGTTTCTCCAAGTTTGTCTGATCAGTTTCCATTTCCCGCTGACTCTCCTTTGTATTGGACAAAGGCAGAGAGCTCGATCTCTTTCTTTCAGACTCCATGATTATGCTTTCCTGTCATAAAGGTTTCAAAACCACTATTGTTCAATTTTATCTTACAATAAAATTATTCAAAAAATGTATATCTATAAATAACAATTATTTTGAGTGTGATTAACATTTCGTAAATTCTAAATTTATACTACTCATTTTATTTTCAAGATAAATTTTAGAACAAAAATTTGTCGTACAAATTTTTCCAATTGTACCATACTAAACTTCAAAGACAAATGGGAAGATGGTTAAAAGTTATTTTTTAACTTTTAATTTATTTTGAATCGCATCAATTCTCATATTTTTTATATATTTTTTCAAAAAAAAAAAGAGCCAAAAATAGGAGAAGATTTTACCTATTTTCTCAAAACAACCCAAAATTGAAAAGAGCCAAAAATAGGAGAAGATTTTACCTATTTTCTCAAAACAACCCAAAATTGTCTAAAATTAAGGCTGTAATTCGGCCAAAATTGGTTAGTTTGAGGGATTGCCCAAGCCTAATTCTCGAGTTGTGAAACCCATCTAAGCTTGACTCTAAACTTGAGCTTGTCGAACCGAAGACAATAAATTGAACTAGAGGAAGACTCAAGCTAATGACATATTTGAACCGGGTTATTTATTTATTTATTTTTTGAGTTAATTTTTTTAAAGAAAATGCATGAAAAAATGTATAAAAATATGTAATCATGTTTTGAAATATGTGCAAAAAGTATATTGAGTTTTTAATTATAAAAAATGATCCAGACCCCCACTGGCCTGTGATTGACCAATTTTTTTTTTGTTTTTTTGTTTTTTAATTAGCATGACTTTTTTTTTTTTCTTCAAAAAATTGAGTCTTATTAACATTGAAAAAATAAAATAAAACAATCATAAGTCTACATACTTAAGTCAATCTAACATTTTAGATAATTTTTGTATAATGAAACCGCTAATAGTTTACATTACATTTAACATTTTTAATATATTGACATGTATAATTTGGGTTTCAAACTGTTCAAATTTCTAAGTATATCTCTCCAAACTTAATCCCAATTTAATTTAGACTTTTTAACTACCCTTTGATCACAATAAAATTTGAAAATATGTTGTCCTGGTCCAAAAAAAATACTTAAATAAATAAATTATTCAGATTAGGCCCGGGTTTCTCAGTTGGGCCACCCAAATTGCACCCTTACCCAAAATGTAAAAGAGAAAAGTTAGGCATCATGAAATTTTTTTCATGAAAATGATCCTGAATGATTTATTACCTTGATTAGTGTGCGGTGCCTTATTTCTAAGTGTAATCCAAGGGTCACAAAATTTTCATGATTATTTTCATAAAAGATTTTTCATAATACCTACATTGCTGAATGTAAAAAGATCGCCTTATTGATCAAATTTATTTACTTATACTTGGTGCTTATTTTTTACCTATAAATATCTCAAAAAAGTATTGAGACAAATTAAATATTTTAAAAATAGGTATTTAGGTCCTCACATAAAACTCTAAACTGGCTAATTTATGATAGAGATCACACACCTGACTGCTCTTCATTAGTAGATCAGAAATAGCTCTGAGATGTTCTTCCTCAACTTTCTTTTTTGACCTCCAGTAAGCCTCAATCCCCTCATTTGTCAATGACTGGTTCCTCTGGATTTCCGCTGCAAAATCACACTTCTCCATCAGAAAAACCATTAAGAAGAGTATTATTTTGTATGAAACCAAAAACAAAGAAATTGCAAGCTTACCAGTTCTAGGATCAGGGACTTGTGAGTCCCAACCTGCCATTAGAGAACCCATTTGCCGAAAATCTTAAACTCCTTAATCAAATACAATTTTGTGTTCATTCTCAGGTAGTCAATATATATCTTATATAGAGATAATGACAGGTAGTCAATATATATCTTATATACAGATGATGACGGTGGTGGTGGCACTCAGATTTTCTTGATCTTATCCCCCAAATATTTTGCGTCAGTGAATAATCTTTGGGAATTCTATTCGGTATGTTTAGTTTGAGTTTTTTAGATTAAATTTTTTGAAATTGAGTTTTTTTTATTTTGGTATTTTTTTTTTATTTTTAATGAATATTTTTAAAATTTTAAATATTTTTTTATTTCTTTAGATATACCTTAGTTAGATGTATCTAAAAAGTAAAAAATTACTAAAAAATATTTTTAAAAATTAATAAATACATAAAAATATAAAAATTGTACTGAATTATCATATTTTTTTTGTATTTTTGGTATTTAGTAAATTTTTAAAAGGTTTTTTCATAATTTTTTTTACTTTTTAAGTATATTTGTGTTAGATATGTCCAAAAAGTAAAAAACAAAAGTGCTTAAAATATTAAAAAAAATTCAGTAAAAACAAAAAATTACGAAAAACAAGAAAGTAAAATTTTCTGAAAAGTATTTTTTGAAATAGATAAACCAAGCAAAGTGACAATATGGAGAGTATTCATGTAAAAGTAGGGTCTACTGTCACATCAATACCTTTAGTAACACCAAAAAATTAGGTAAATTATAAACAAACTCCTTGAAATTTACTTAAATTATAAATTATATCATGTGATTTAAAAATTACATTATGCCTAATAAAGTTTCTAATTTCATAACAAATATGTCATTTTATTAATAAACCATTAAGTTAATTAACAGTTTTTAATAATGTTAAAATTTTATTGCAATTAATAATTCAGATAATTTTATTATTATCTAGGTGAAGAGTTAGAAATTTTACTTTTTCAATTAATTCTATTAAATAACAATTTTTAATAGGAAGGTATTTATAATTTTCTAAATCACAAGGAACAATTCATATTATAAACAAATTTCATGAGATATATTTATAATTTACCCATAAAAAAATTTGTTTCATCACCCGTGTTCGAGATATGATACAAAATATAAGCCACTCAAAAAAAAAAAAATTTTGTTCACATTTTAATAAATAAAAAGGCAAAATTATAAATACACTGTTTGAGATTTAATTAAAATATGAATTATTTTTTATGATTTGAAAAATTATAAATATTTTCTTGTCAAAATTTTTTATTTAACATAATTAATAGAAAAAATAAAATTTGTAATTGTTCTCATATACAATAATAAAACTATCTAAATTATTAATTAAAATAAAATTTAACATTATTAAAAATTATTAATTAAGTTGATGATTTATTAATAAAATTATCTATTTATTATGAAATTTAAAACTTTAGATAATATAATATAATTTTCAAAATTATAAGAAATAATTTGTAATTTAAATAAATTAAAAAAAATATATTTATAATTTACGCTAAACAAAACATAAATTGTAATCGATATAAAATAGTGTACCTTTCATTTAAAAAGTAAATGGACTCTACTAAACAAAAACAAAAAATAGAGTCAATACGAGGTCCCTTAGTTCACATCAATCACAAGTTGAGTTGTTTATGTACTTAAAATTGTGAATTCGGTTATTTTAGACTAATTACAAAATATATTTTATTTATGTGAATAAAATTAGGATGTAGGCAACGTGTCAGATACACATCTGACACAGCATCCGTGCATGAATTTAATATCATGCTTTGTTGTTTCGTTGTCACTTTGCATGTATTACATACTTCGTTGTTTCTCTGTGTGCTGGAAATTGGCCACACTCATCCAAGAAAAGGCTAATCTATAAAGTCCAAAGCTATCTCTAACACTTTGTAACATCTATCACATTATTAAGTCAAGATTGAATTAAATGTTCAAACCTTATTGTCATACAACGTATTATATTTTTTATTTTTAAACAAATTATATAAAAACGTATATAAGGTTTGAATTCAAGATTTAGATTTTTATTACAAAAAAATTATTACTACTTAGACAATATATATATATATATATTATAATATTATTTCTTTAGTATAGTACTTCATCTATCTCAAAATATTAGACTGTGTTTGGAACGGTTTTCAAACTATGATTCTATCTCAATATTCTAATATGATGTTTGAATAGTATTCTCAAATCATATTTCCACAACATTTAGAAAATGCTGTAGAAAACTCTGTGTGGAGCGCGTTTTTTAATTTTTTTTTTCAAATTTGGCCTCACTGGTCGTTCGGCCGGTTGACCAAAACAATGGAAATTTTATTTTATTTATTTATTTATTTTTATTTTTTTTGTAATTGACATATGTTAATTTTTATATATTCGAAAAAAATATTTTCTGAATTTTTTAAAATTTTTTATGTGTTTTAATAAAATGTTGAGTTGTATATTTGGTTATGAGTTGTAAGTTTTTATATCAAATATCATATGTCACATCAAAAATTCCCCACTCAATCCAAAACTCTTTTCAAAACCCTTTTACCAAATAAATTTTCCACACTCAAATCCTAATTCCAAAACTCACAAACTCAAAATATAATTCATACTTTTAAATCATATTTAGAAAGCTCTACCAAATGCAACCTTAGTTTTTTTTGAGAAATCTAACTTTTTTGATAGTATAATTATTACATTTCAAAAATATTAACTTTTCAAAACTACTTTTAGTAGTACAATTATTACACTTAAAAAATATTAATGTTAATGAATTTAAAAGAAAGAAAAAATAAGAAATTCATATTATTTTAATTCTTAATTTTTGAAAAAAGATTAATATTTTGGGACAGAGAGAGTATTTATTTTTATTCTTACTTATTTGAATTCCTCTAGTATTAAATAAATGTTAAAATTGGTGTCCAAGCCTTCTTATCATGTCAGAAGACAGATTTTTCTGTATATCTTAAAATCAAGTGTCCAAGCCTTTCTCTCATGTCACGTGGTAGATTTTTCTATCTTAAAATAAAAAGTTATTCAAAGAAATAATACGCAAGGTTTAAACCCAAGATCTTCATTTTCATGAAGAACATTCCTACTATTTAGACAATATATATATATTATAATACTAATTCTTTTATTATTATTTATTTAAATTGTACACATTTTATGTGTCAGACCCACTAACATAAAATATTTACATAACTCTGATATCACAACTCTAAACAAATCTCTAGTGAGGTGGAAGAGAGAGAAAGAGAGAGATAGAGAGAGGAGTATAGGCCCTACCTTCACATGAGCACTCTCCACATTATTAGAGTTGCATTAGAGCTCTCAAACATTATTCTATTGAATAATTATTAAAAAAATTTTGGGACCCCCTTGGGGGATAATCCCCACACTCCTAAAATGATCTCGGCTCTCCATGTATACGTGAGACCCATTTATATATATGTGAGACCCATTTATATATATGTGGAGTTCACATCATGAATAATTTTAATTTGTAAAAATCTTATGAAAGTGAGAGTCTCAATTATTACTAATAATTATTTATCGCAATGAAATGCAGTCAAACGGAATTGGGCTTGTGAGAAAACCGTCTCAAAATTTATATCGCGTCATATGTACTTCAGTATAGTCTCAAAATTTTTATTCCTTTATTCCTGTCCACTCTCAATGATTTATGTTGAAATTTTTTTGAAACGTTTGACGAAAATAAAATTGGATCGTAAATTATGTACTTTACTGTAGTCTCAAGATTAGAGATTGAGTTCATTTTAAATATGTCTCACACTATATTAAATTTAAATTTGTATCATATATTATATATATAGCATTTCTCTTGTGGATATATCAGGTGGAGTTTGATTGGAAATAAAAAAAATAAAAAAAAATAAAAAAAGGGTTGTTCTTCTAGTTCTAGGTGTAATGTGAGCCTCATCTTGCATGTGGCTTGAGCTCACCTAATCATCATAAATGAAAGAGAGATGTTATGAATTATGAAATTTACTTCAAATTTTATCCAGAACAAATTGTATAGTGTAATTAAAGTTAGTGGGATGCAAATTACACTTAAAAGCTATGCGACTATACGTACTCTTTTAGAGGTGTGTGTCATATGTAAGTTATCATATTTGTGAGATTGATTACTATAAATATCATAATTAAAAGAATATTAATAATGATTCATAATAATAAAAATAATCATATAAAATATAACCAAAAATCTTTTCAATTATAATTAAAATAATAATCACAATAAGTTATAATTAAATCATAATTAATATCACAATAAGTCATAATTAAATACCACAAATACCATAACTGGGCATAAGTTAACGCCCTAAAATAGAGTGTGTATAATAGAATTTCTCCATACATAAAATAATTATCATCTGTAAATATTTTTTTTTTAAAAATTTGTAGCATTGTTGTAAATAAAAATAAGGCAAAATTCATTTTACTCTGACATGATTTTGATAATTTTATAGTTAACCTCCCCACCGTTATTTGTTCTGTTAAACTTGCCAGATTTTATGAAAAATGCGCAACATTGAGAGTGGATATGAAAAAAACAATATCAAATTCTATTGTAAAAGTCAAATTTGCCCTTTTTTCATCTTCTTCCTACTTCAAAACCCTAAACCTAATACAACCAGCACCTCCTTCTACCTCCCTATCTCAGAAGTTGTTGCTAGGTCTCTGCATTCCAAACTCCATGACAGATCATTGAAGTTTGCAATGAGCAGGGACATTAAGTTTAATCTTCACTTAATAATAATAATATAGATGGATAGATAGATAAATAGAAGATAGACGTTACAAAGTGTTAGAGATAGGTTTGCACTGTATAGATTGGCCTTTTCTTGGATGAATGTGACCAAGTTCCACTAAAGACTAAAAATATTGTGGCTGAATATTCTGGCAGCCCACAGAGATACAAACAAGAGTATGTAATACATGCATGGAAGGAATTCATGCAAAACAACCTCAAAATGCAAGAATATGAACATGCATGCATGAATTAGCTCATAATTCAACTCTTCAAATTAATCC